TCATAAATAAGTAGAACGCTATCTTTTTCTCAAGTCAACTCATACATTTGATGCACATATAAGAATAATTTTTTTTTTCTGTTGTTAGACATGTATGTAGAATTATTATTTAACTATATTCATTTGAAATTGTCATTGTTGGTCCCAAGCTCGAATGTAAAAAGTGGAGGGTTGCATTAAGTAGTCGACAGCCGATTTAATTAAATCAAATAATGAAATTCTTGCCTTACGGGCCTTTTGATCATTGTGTTAGTGTTAGGGCGTCTCCTGGAAGCGACGCGTTCTATAGCTTGAATACAGTGAAAAGTGTGCAAGGACCGCTACACCGACGTCCGGGTGTAGTGTCAAATAAGCAAGAGTTCCCACATTACGAGCGAATGCGAGTAAAGAAGTTAGTCCATGAAACTAATGAAACTAATATTAGGATAAGATCATGAAATATAGGTACTTTCAATGATAAATTAATGGAATTACCATAGAAAAATTAATGAAATCAGTTAATATTATGATTTATAGGAAAATTAATATCTTATATATTCAATAAACTAAATGAGTTGGAGAAAAAACTAAAGAGATTGATAATTTAGGTTTTAAGCTCTGGTATTCTGGTAAGAGTCGCACTAGAAATGGTGTAGGTGTAATTATATATAAGAGTTTGAAAGATAATGTTGTAAAAATTAATAGAGTTGGTGTTATAATTATAGCCCTTAAGATTATCATTGATACTAAGATTTTTAATATTATAAGTGTTTATGCTCCTCAAGTAGGTTTAGATATAGGGTCTAAAGATAAATTTTGGAATGACTTAGAAGACTTAATACAAATGATACATTTTGAAGAAATAATTTTTATTGGAAAAGATTTAAATGGATATGCGGTAAAGTGGTATAAAATTTTAGAAATATTCATTGTGGTTAACATTTTGGAGTGATTGATGAAGAGTTATTATATTAAATTTTGCTTTAGTATATGATTTAATTATTGTTAATATTTTATTTAAAAAAAGAGATGAGTATGTTATTACTTATAAGAATGAATCTAATAAAATATAAATTAATTATTTTTTTATAAGAACAAGATATCGTCGAGATTGTAAAGATTGTAAGGTCATGCCAAGTGAGAATTTTTCAAAGTGAGGATTTAAGTACCCAAAATCGTTTATTAGTTCTAGATTTTAAGATGAAGAGTTAAAAAATAAAGAATAATATGACTCATTATCGTAGAATTAGATGAACTTAAAAACACAAATAAAATTATTTTTATGAGTAAAATTCAATATTTCAAAATTTGAGATATTTATGAAGAAGCAAATGTTATGTGGGATAAAGTAACAAACACTATATTAAACATGTAGCAAAAGATGTTCTTGGAGAATCAAAGGGAAAAATATTTACAAATAAAAATAGTTGGTGGTGGAATAATAATGTGCAAGAAAAGATAAAATATAAGAAGTTATGTTATAAAAATTGGTTTAAATGTAAAAGCTTAGAGAACTGGGAAAATTATCGAATGGTCTGAAAGGGAGTCTAAAAGAATAATCTGTGATGCTAAAAATTCCGCTTTTAATGATCTTTATATTAGATTAGATACTAAGGAGGGTGAAAAACATATGTATAAACTAGCCAAACAAAGAGAAAAGAAAAGTAAAAATTTAACTCAAGTTAAGTGTATTAAAGATGAAAATTAAAAAAATATTTTTCTTAGAAAAAGATGTTCAACATAGGTGGGTGAGTTACTTTGATAAACTTTTTAATGAAGTTTCTGAAAATACGATCGACCTTAGTGATCTGAATATTGTGAATAATAATAAAACGTTTCATTTTTACCGTTGCATTAGTAAAAAAGAAGTTGATGAGACTTTAAAGAAAACCAAGGGTGGAAAGTCTGTAGGACCCGATGATATCCTAGTTGAAGTGTGGAAATATTTATGGGATTTGGGAGTTTCTTAAGAGATTTGGGAGTTTCTTGGCTTACTAAACTCTTTAATATTATTTTAAAAACTAAAAAGATGCCTGAGGAGTGGAGGAAGAGTATTTTGATCCCCATTTTTAACAATAAAGGGGATGCACAAGAGTATTCAAATTATAGAGGAATTAAGTTGATGTGTCATACTTTAAAGTTTTGGGGAGGGTAATTGAACATATGTTAAGACACATTACAAAGATTTCTCTTAATCAATTTGGATTTATGCCTGGCAGGTCTACTATGGAAGCTATACATTTATTGAGAGGTTTGATGGAGAAGTTCAGAGATAATAAGGAGAATCTACATTTGATTTTTATTGATTTAGAAAAAGCTTACGATAAGGTTCCAAGAGATATCCTTTGGAGAGTTCTCGAGAAGAAATGTGTTGATATGACTTATATTCAAGTCATTAAAGATATGTATACTAGAGCTGTTACTTGTGTTCAAACTGAAGGAGGATTGACAAAATATTTTCCTATTTCTGTTGGTTTACATCAGGGATCGACTTTAAGCCCATATCTTTTTGCTTTAGTTATGAATGGTCTTACTGGACATCTACCTTGGTGTATGCTTTTTGCTGA